GGAAGTAAATGAACCAGAAATAAAGTTAATTCACAGTGTATTAATACACAGCACGTATTGGAGGTAAATGAACCAGAAATAAAGTTAATTCACAGTGTATTAATACACAGCACGTATTGGAGGTAAATGAACCAGAAATAAAGTTAATTCACAGTGTATTAATACACAGCATGTATTGGAGGTAAATGAACCAGAAATAAAGTTAATTCACAGTGTATTAATACACAGCACATATTGGAAGTAAATGAACCAGAAATAAAGTTAATTCACAGTGTATTAATACACAGCACATATTGGAAGTAAGTGAACCAGAAATAAAGTTAATTCACAGTGTATTAATACACAGCACATATTGGAAGTAAATGAACCAGAAATAAAGTTAATTCACAGTTCTTTTTTTAGTACATTGCACTTAGTTTAATTCTGCTGGGAAGGAAACCAGAAGCATTTTCTGTGTCAAATATCTTACTTGAGCTTGATTTATAAAAATGTATATGTTGATGAAACATTATTCTAGTTTATTATAATTTTGGATAATGCGATGTACACATGTGTTTATCAGGTATTGACAGATAGATAGGGGTTAATCTCACATTACACAATTTTTTTTATACGATTCTTAAACTGGTAATGCTTTCATTTTGTGTGTGGTGTTAATGACAATACATGTAATATTTAGTTTTATGCCCAGTGTTATATTACAGGAGCTTGAAATGTTTTATCTTGCAATGTAGCATTTTTTTTTTGATGTTGAGTAAGTTCTGTACCTCACAAAATGAAAATTACTTGAAATTATGTGATTTTCAAAAGTTTTTATACAAATGTTTAATAGGTTGAGTTGTTCACAAACTAAATAAAACATTTCATTAATGAGATAAAAAAGTAAATTTCTTTTTGTGTAATATTTTTCTCAAAGAAGTAGTAAAAACCATAATGAAGCAAAAATGTATAAGTAGTGCTAATTAAAAACATGGTTTATTAGATTGCAGTGACATGTAACAAGTACCTGTAATTTATTACTTGGTGACATGTAACGAGTACCTGGAATTTATTATGTGGTGACATATAACGAGTACCTGGAATTTATTACGTGGTGACATGTAACAAGTACCTGGAATTTATTACATGGTGACATGTAACGAGTACCTGGAATTTATTATGTGG